CCAGACGCTGTTCCAAGACCTCTATTCAGAGCATGTTACCATAGTCTCTCGAGACTGAAGGATGCCTACATTGATTAACAACATTAAAAGACAACATTTAAAGCTAAGAGCAATTAGTGTAAAGAGGGATCTTATATTATTAAAAGGCAATACAGTATTAAAGCTAAGAATATACAAATATTTTTTTAAATGCTACTCTGAGAAATGGAAAACACAAGTAGTACTGAAAATCCAGTCAAAGACGTCATGCATAACAATCCATCTAAAGATCATGCACAGGTAGCTGGTCTACTGAGGGAAGGCTCGCCTGAAGAGAAAGGTCTTCTTTGCCTGCTTGCGGAAGGACAGCATTTCAAATGCCTGAAAATTGGGGACATGCATACAATTTGTAAGGTGTAGGTTGCGTTCTGTGTGGATCTTGCAACAAAACATGACCAGGGGTGTGTGTGTGGATTAAAATATCATCTCCTGTTGCATGATGCTTAACATAGGAGACTAGAGGCTTGTTTTTCCCTCTCCTTAGTTGAGCCATTATTTGGACCATGGATAGCTCTGTTCTTGTGTAGTCACACCAATATGTGTACATGCTTGGTTTCTTCTGGGGGGATCTCCTGCAATAACAGTTGTTTCTGTTTGTTGCTAGAACTGGAGCCAGCTGAATACACTGAGTGCTCCTAGCATGTTTAGGCTCCATTTGGTCACATCTGCACTGAGAACTCAGATGATGCAGAAGCCACTTTCAGACAGGTATGCCTGTCTGGACTTCCTCACCTAGGTACTCTGGTTTGGGCACAAAGTAGGATGTACTTTCCGACTGATTCCTAGTCCTTTCACTATTTGCATGTTAATATCCAACAATATATATTTTCCCCCAAGCTCTGAGACACATACATATGCACACACTTAATGAGGGTGAAAGAGGAGAGCACCAAAAATGGTCTGAAGCTCAACATCAAAAAAACTAAGATCATGGCCACTGGTCCCATTACCTCCTGGGAAACAGAAGGGGAAGATATGGAGGCAGTGTCAAATTTTATCTTCCTGGGCTCCATGATCACTGCAGATGGAGACAGCAGCCCTGAAATTAAAAGACGCCTTCTTCTTGGGAGGAAAGCGATGACAAATCTTGACAGCATCTTGAAAAGCAGAGACATCACCTTGCCAACAAAAGTCCGAATAGTCAAAGCTATGGTTTTTCCAGTAGTGACGTATGGAAGTGAGAGCTGGACCATAAAGAAGGCTGACCGCCGAAGAATTGATGCTTTTGAATTGTGGTGTTGGAGGAGAATCTTGAACGTCCCCTGGATTGCAAGAACAAACCTATCAGTTCTAAAGGAAATCAACTCTGAGTGCTCAGTGGAAGGACAGATCTTGAAGATGAGGCTCCAAGACTTTGGCCATCTCACGAGAAGAGAAGACTCCCTGGAAAAGACACTGATGTTAGGAAAGAGTGAAGGCAAGAGGAGAAGGGGACGACAGAGGACGAGATGGATGGACAGGGTCACCAAAGTGACCAACATGAATTTGACCCAACTCTGGGAGGCAGTGGAAGACAGGAGGGCCTGGCGTGCTCTGGTCCATGGGGTCACAAAGAGTTGGACATGACGACTAAACAACAACAACAAAATACTGTACATGTTGCACAACAACTCCCACCATCCACATCTAGAATAGTTGCACTACGGAGTGATTCCAGAAATACGTCATGGATCTCCAGTCTCTGCTGAAGCACATGCTGAAAGGAGAGCAAAACACCTTTTATGGAGGCAGTTTCTTGTGCTGTCTAAAAACATCTCCCGTTTTGCTCTATTCTGCTGAGATTGAACTAAAATCGCTTCCTCTGCTCTTTCCTCTCGCTGCTTCTATCATGCTGCCCCGGGAAGCAGCAGAGCCCAAATCGGCTTGAGTCTTCTGCATGACATGCCAGTCTTGTGACTGCGTTTTCTGACTGCATTGCTTTCCCTAGTTCTACTACATTTTATGGCTGCTCTTTGGCCCATCCCAGCTCGACTGCCTGATAGTGAGATAAATATAGACTGACATAATAAATAACAGCAAAAATAAGTAAATATTGAACATTTGTAAACCAGTTCCATGTGTCAGAACGACCTTATAGGCAGGCCCGTTACAACTCCCCTACTGGATGTTTCTATGATTTTTAAAATAAAAAAATGGAAAGCTTCGCTTCGAACGATTTTGGCCTATTCATTCACACAAACAGTTCCAAAATTACAAATTTGCCAATGGAGCCGTCTTTGACAGCTGCTTCCCCAATTCCTGTTTAAAAGTGCAATAAATTCAGACACAGTACAGTAATTTCATCTTCTGGTTACCACACAAGGGTGGAGGGTGGGTTTCACTTAACTGGGGCTTATTTTGGGGGTAGGGCTTATAATACCAGCATCCAGAAAAATCATACTAGGGCCCATTTTCAGGTTAGGTTTTATTTTCTCGGAAATGTTATATACATGATTACTATATCTATTGTGGGCAAGAATCCTGTAGAAGGAATGGAGTAGCCCTCATAGTAAACAAAAGAGTGGGAAAAGCTGTAATGGGATATAATCTTAAAAATGATAGAATGATGTCAATATGAATCCGAGGCAGACCTTTCAACATCACAATAATCCAAGTTTATGCACCAACCAGCATTGCTGAGGAGACTGAAATTTAACAATTCTATGAAGACTTACAACACCTTCTAGGACTGACACAAAAGAAATATGTTCTTCTCATTCTAGGGGATTTGAATGCTAAAGTAGGGAGCCAAGAGATAAAAGGAACAACAGGGAAGTTTGGCCTTGGAGTTCAGAACGAAGCAGGACAAAGGCTAATAGAGTTTTGTCAAGAGAATAAGCTGGTCATCAGAAACACTCTTTTCCAACAACACAAGAGGTGAGTCTACACATGGACTTCACCAGATGGGCAGTACCGAAATCAGATTGATTATGTTCTCTGAAGCCAAAGATGGAGAAGCTCTATACAGTCAGCAAAAACAAGACCTGGAGCTGACTGCAGCTCTGATCATCAGCTTCTCATAGCAAAACTCAAGCTTAAACTGAAGAAAGTAGGAAAAACCACTGGGCTAGCCAGGTATAATATCTAAACCAAATCCCTTATGAATACACAGTGGAAGTAAAGAACAGATTTAAGGAACTCGATTTGGTGGACAGAGTGGCTGAAGAACTCTGGACGGAGGCTCGTAACATTGTACAGGAAGCAGCAATAAAAACTATCCCAAAGAAAAGGAAATGCAAGACAGCAGTCAGCAGTGTAGTCCTTGAGAAGTATTTGATTCTGAATGTTAATGAACTGTGGGTATGTTAGTGTAAGAATGTGACACACCGTTTTTATGAATGCAAATTAAAACTTGTTTCTGTTTACTTCAGAGAAGACAGCAATTGTTAGACATTACATTATGGAGTAAATTTGTCATCCTTCCGAAGGGGACGACAGAGCACTAGACGGATGGACAGGGTCATCGAAGCGACCAACATGAATCTGGCCCAACTCCGGGAGGCAGTGGAAGACAGGAGGGCCTGGCACGCTCTGGTCCATGGGGTTGCGAAGAGTCGGACACGACTTAACTTAACTTAACGAGTAAACCACAACATATACATGACACACAGAATCTTAATTCAAATATAGACGTTCTCATCGATATATTTCATCTTAATGTGCCCCGTCTTCTTCCAAAAATATGATTCTTGTGTTGGGGTATATACAGCCTATGGTTTTGCAAACATGTCTTCTCTAGAAGGGTTCCTGGCATAACATCTATTTTCTTGCAGCAATCCTTTTCTAAGTTTCAGTGCACAAGTTCATGGATAAAAATGATTCTTAGCTAGGGAATAAAAAAGAAAAGAAAGGGCAGATTCTTGGCCGTCTTCTCGCATCCCTTCCTGGCAGGAAAGGGAAGGCGACTTTGTAGGGTGTTTTTCTTCAGCCGCGGGTCCTGCTCCGTGGGAGCGCACCCTGGGAAGAAGCGTCCCTTGTTGGGGAGGGGGGGGTCAAAAAAGGGGTCCCTCCGGCGCCGC